CCACTCACTCGCGTTCTCGTATCAACTTACGCACCTAAGCTCCAATCCTATTAATGTTAATGAGGCACAGAAGTGATCGCACGGATGGAGCTTGGATCGCTTTAGTCTGGGCAAAACGTTCTACGGCGATGCGGTGAGAAGGTTTGCGTGCAAGCGTGTGTTTATCAACGTTATTCAATGTCACGACTGCTTCTAACATTTGAAGACAGAATGCTATTCACCAGTATGAGCTTCCCCCTGATGACGATGTTCCTGGTTGAATGTTGTACAACAGCCCATCATCTGATTGAGGTAAATCGGTGTCAGCGGTAGTTGACAACTGCAGACAACGTCTTGGTGTGCATGAAACTGGATGGGGAGGGTTTCCCACCCCTTTCGGCAGGAATGTATAAATGGTGCTTATGAGGATTTGGCCGTTATGAGGAAGGGCTTATGGAGGAAATGGTTTCATATTCAATGTATCTAAAATCCTTCGGGAAAAATAAATCCAGTGGTCTTCTTGTCACAAAGTCAGTGGATTTTACTTGATGACCAAGGGGCCTCCCAACCTGACGTGGGTAAAACCCATTTTTTGGCTATTACTTTTAACTACTGAACCCAATTCAGTAGTTACCGCTTATTGCACATGTAAGGTGGTGATTGCAGACTGGTCTCCTTTGTTGGCAGAAAAACCATGATGTTCACTAATTTTTTGAAAAACTAACAATAACCTGCGGATGTTTCTGCTCTGTTCAGGACAGATATAGTGCACCCTCTCTGTTAACCAATTTGCTTACGATAGTGAGCTTCAAATCTCGTTGCGCGTGAAGAAATCTTGGGTGATAGTGGAACAAGCACTGCGTGCTATTGTAAACGATGGATTCTACTCCCCTCCTGGAGTGCGACAAATGCCTTTGGACAAGCGCCGCACAATCTTGTTGTTGGGATTGACCTAGCACAAAACCGTGGTTCTTAAAAATGAATTCATTTTTGCCAACTTTTAGTTGTGTTCACCAACACCTTTTAACTACTCGTTGTGAAACTGGAGATTATTTATGGCAGATCCTGATAGAGAACAGCAAAACAAAAACACTCCACGTACCAGAGCTTGCTGAGTTGGCGACACACACGTGTGTATATATTATCAAAATGAATTGGAATGCCTCACAGTGATGAAGGTTTTGTGAGTGATTTTTTCGAATATTGCGTGTACTGGTTGCAAGAGTGTATCCGGACATACTCCGGACATTTTCAACAGCTTCGGAGAACTTGGGTTTGTGAATTTCGCAAAGGGCTGAAACATCATGGTAGTCTTGTATCCTCTATCAAGAAGTAAAACACTTCCGCTTATCAGTTTTCATGGCAACTTGGCTCCTGACACCTTAAATGGAAATGATAGTTACCCCTTTAATCCATAGTCGTTCCTGGATCACCACAATTTACTACCATTTAAGAAGCAAGTAGGTCGCATGCCCTGCGAAACGCTTTTGAAATCATCAAATTTCCCAGCTTTGTTCAGACAATGTGACTAGCACTTCATTGATCCAACTCTTGGCCCACATTCCGTTAGTTTACTCATTCCGATCCTTTGGGAATTGGAACTACCGCAGTTGGGCACAAAATTTGTGAGCTAAAAATCCGTTTTTTGAGTTATTTCTGATTTCCTGTGCCTCTGATGTAGTTCGGTGTCTGTTACCGAGCGGATCAATAAACTGGCCTTGAATTTTATCCATCTGCAGTCAACTTTGGTCATGAAGCTTAAAATAACAATTGCTGAAAACATGGTTGCACCTGGTGTGAATACAGAAAGAGATTGGGAAGAGTTTTGGTCTTATTGGTGCACTCCTCTATCACGATGGGCCCCCGTGATGCCCTGAACTTGAATAAGGTACCAGCTAGTTGACGTCGGTGGTGTCAGTTCCATTCTAGAATGCATGGTTTGTCGCTTGGATGCGAAAGTACTCAGAATGCTTCTACCAGCCTCGTTCCTCACCCACTGTTTTCTCTTCAGTTTGTGGCTTCAAGCGCAAGTTTCTTAAAAAAAACATCAGTGGTTTCTTAAAAAACATCAGCGGTAACTCTGATGTTGCTGTCTCTGACGATAGTGATGATGATGATGATGATGATGGTGGTGATGATGATGATGGTGAGGATGGTGGATGGATGGGTGGATGAAGTAAACTAACAAAAAGACTAGCTTCATAAAAGACCAGTTAAAATTAGAGTTCAAGC